CATTTCTACGTTTAAATGAGTGATAAAGAAATTTACATAAACAACTTATTGTATTGATATAAGTAGTGGACATTAATTGAGTAAACTTAACTTTGGATGGATTAACAGTAAAATACTTGAATATATAATGTTTACAAATATCAGTGTAACAAGGCAAATTAAAGTAAAATGGTACCCATCTTCAACTAAATTTAATGTACAATGTTTGCATAATTTATCTTTTTTATCAATTTTTGACCATCTACCAGTTTCAATTTCTAATTCAAGGACTCCTAAACGCAACTTAGTGAGAATACGTCTATAATTAAAATTTTGTATATGCATTAGGTATAGTTCGATTGTAAAATTATATTTAAATGTCACATAATACTTAAGTCTGGAAAATAAATGAATTTGTTCATGAAACTTTTGACGTTCAATATCAGTTAGACGAGTAGTTATTTCAGATATAAAAGAAACATTGTTCTCAACACATTGTTCATACCAATTTACACCAAAACCAATTGAACATAATTTCTCCTTATTAAAGTATAACCAAGATTTATCGTTCGACTGATAATGATACGTACATGCTTAATCGAAATAATAACACATTCAAAATCACTGTTTTAGAAAACAGTTTACTTATATGTTTTCTTGTATGTCTGGGCCTATCATACGGAGACGAAATAAACAAACAGCGCCACCACAGAAAGTCGGGACTCAAAGTACTGTACGGAGATCGTCTCATCATTTCGAGATCTATTTTTTTTTTTTTTTTTTTGTTTCTTGCTCGTTAGATGTTATTTTACTCTATTTTAAAAAGAAAACGTTTCGTAAAAGCTGAATTAGAGAAATTGCAATTCAAACTTGGTGAATTTTTACCCTGTTTGTACAGCATAGGCATTTAAACCTAGGATAAGTCTGTTTGTCATCCGGTCTAGGCTTAGAGAGCGACTGTCTGTCTGTGTGTTACCAGGGAACCGTTAAATCTCGCTGTTCCCTGGTGTTACCATACTATTACTGTTAATGGTTGTTTATCAACTGCCCTCTGCGGTAGATTTTTAAAGTATTGTATTTAGATTAAAATCAGAAAAACATGAATCTTTATCTTTTTTTTTTTGTTATCTTTACAAATTCTATAAATACATTCATCTTGACATGTAACTCAAAGATAAAAACGCCTATCTGGAATAAAAAAAGAAATGTGTTCGGGTCAAATCAAAATCTTATCACAGTTAGTTATAAAGGTGTCATTCATTTTCCAATGGATATTTACATTGATGACAATTAGCGACTATAAAATACCCATTGAAATAACAAGTACGGTAGCACAATAATGAAATATTATTTGATTCATCAATCATTCGTATTTTCAATACTATCGAAATATATTATTTCATCGCACGAATATCGGATGATATCTACTATTTTAATCCGAAAATAAGCAAATGGCATAAATAGCCGGCTACGAGTTTTGTTTTGTTTTGTTTTGTTTTGTTTTTCAACCTGACATATTTTTTGATGGGGGACATTTTCCGCGACTTGCCATGGCTACAATATATAAGTAGATTACTACAATATTAGTAGAGCTCTACTATAATGCTGCATACGAACATCACTGACTCTAGTTAAAAGTTGTAATGTTCAATACATGTAACAACATACCCCCCATGACCACACCAGCTCCCACCGACAACGCACAAACGTCATAGATAGATAGAAATATTTCTTTATTCTGCATAAATCAATTTGCATTGTTCTTCCTTAAGGTCCAGTTAATAGTTTAAAACATATTTAGAATATGAAATAATATTTAAAGAAATTATTTTTTTAAAAAGGGAAAAAAAAACAAGAAACAAAAAAGTACAGTTTTAAATTAAATCATTTTTTTGAAGGAATGCATAGTTAAAGAACTTAATGAATTGCGTGTATCTCTGGGGTAAGATTGTTCCAAATTTTAACTGAATTTTTGGGTTTTTTCCCCTGAAATATGTTGCCATTGTCAAGTGGGCTATTGCATCATTGATGCTGTCGGTTTTTTTTTTTTTTTTTTTTTTTTTTTTTTTTTTTTTTTCTTGTGAGACGACTTATTTTTATGTTTTTTTTTTTTTCTTGTGAGACGACTTAGTTCTTGATATCTGAATATTATGACATAAATTATGCTTAATCTGCGCCAGGTAGTAGAAAACGCAATCGGTTACGATTGAGTGGGTTCACCTTTCAATCGAATAGCCATCAGCTACTCTAAATTTGACCCTTCATCGGACAATAATGCTGCTTGAATACTAAACCTCACAACACCCAATCTGAGTCAAAGCTCATACGTCTATTTGTCAGAAGTGAAGATCGCAACAAAGGTATGTTATACTAAAGATAATTGTTCAGATAGCGATTTGATTCTGCAGTCACTATGATCAGGATTGCTAATAGCGTTTTCTGTACTTAGATTTCTTTCCATGACTAGTTATGGTTATACCTTTTCAAAATTGTATTCTACAGCTTCTTTCAGACTATACACAATCTAGTCTTAGCATATATATACATATTTTATACACAAGAAATATAATATACTGTAACTTTTAACCTCTTTCCCTTTCCACTCCACTCTTCGCTAAACAAAAAGTAAAAATGAAACCCGTTTTCGCTATATAAGTTTTAATTTAAAGTTCGGTTCAAAATCACCATACTAGTGGTACCAAATGTAGTTATCGATCGTAGTTTTTGTTCTTCATAAGGAAACAGGACAATGATTTAAACACAATAGAATGCGTAATTACAGACATTGAAGCAAATCTGTCAATAGCCTTGTGGTTGAACAATAGCTTACAGGCTTATCACTTAGTACTATTACCTTTTTCTCACAGTACACCTAGTATTACTATGGAAGGCCTTTAATTATTAACAATTCACAACCTAGAGTGGTGGTATTTCAAAGAGTTTGTGATTTGTGAGATCTAGTAGCCCCTGTATTTCTTAAAGACAAGTGGGTTTTCTCTATTTTTGCACAGTTGAAAAAAAATAAAACAAAATGTGACAGGCTCGGATTGAATTAGATTAAAATCTTTAAAATATAATCAAGTTGTACAATACAGATTTCATATGTATGTATACAATAAAACACAACATAGCATTACAACATTACGTTGATTTTTTGCTGTTGCTTATCAAATTTGTGTCTCTACCGAGATCCAGCTGTTTTTTCACTAGCATTGTGTCCATTGTATGCATTTTATTCTTTATATACATATATACTGTCTCTTATACCGGCATATAACTTTTAAAATATTTCGTTTAGGATGCTATATCAGATTGATTTTCCATCATCACTCTCATGGCTTGCATTATTCGCCATCATAGTCACCACTTGTTTGTACATAAACGCACGTCGACCACCTGGAATGCCACCTGGACCATTTCCTTATCCAATCATAGGAAGCATATTCGGTACGTTCTAGAATTTAATGAGTTAGGCCTATTTTATGACAAATGTATGTATATGTATGTATATATATATATATAATTTGAACGTATATTGTTTTTTTTCCCAATAATATACCAAGATCTTATAGGAGATATTCCATCTCATAAGACATTCAAGCGAATGTCAGAAACATATGGAAATGTATTTTCTATAAAACTTGGATCATTTTGGGCCGTCATCGTTAACAACTATGAGTTAGTACACGAGGTGCTGGTGAAAAAACCCGATGCATGTAGTGGACGCCCACGTACATTCGCATGTAAGTTTCACATTTATTATTGTCCATAATTTCTGTGGACTGTCTATTATTTATTTATTTATTTATTTATATGAATATACACCTTTGAATCGGTGGCACTCAATATCAATTGGTGCGTTCGTACAAACAAAAAAAAGGGTAAAATTTAACAAACAAAATAAAAAAAAACAATCGACTGTATAAAAATTAATATTACAAAATTAAAGAAAGGTAGAAAAATAACATATAAAATTAGATGAGATCACATTTCACATCACATTTCATACTCAGAAATACTGTACATAAATCTGGCATGAGCTCATCATCGTACCACAAGAGATGAGCCAGAGTTCGCCCTCACCTCAGCCCCGTTTAATTTTTTCTCTGACAGACTGATATGGGCGGGGCTCCGCTCTCGATCCTATAGACAGACAGTGAGAGCCATAGACAAAAAGAAAGGGCGATCTCTATTGGCGCTGCCATGGCGTCTGACCATGTGCGCGCATGTCTTACCTTCGTACGGTGGTGCATACTGTGTTTATAATAAATTATGATGAAAAAAAATAATATGTACGTCTTATCATTCCCATATTTAGATGTTAGCAGGTGATGTGTAAGAGGCCCCCCCCCCCATTGGAAGCCACAGGTATCACGTCTGCTGAGTGATATTAAATGAATGGACAAAAAATAATTAAATATTTTTGACAATGACTAATTTCCCTCTCTCAAAACCTAAAACATCATAAAATTTTACCTCACCACTTTTTTGTTCAGAAAATTTTCTCTTATGTAGGCCTATGTTTATAAATTTCCTTTGTTTATTAACTGAAAATTGCATAATAATAGTTTCGTAGATTCTGTAAAGAAGGATTTGTTTTTTCAACAAAATAATCCTATTGTGTAACAAAGCTAAAATATTGTTTATTTGCATTGGTATTTCAATTTCTATAAAGTTTTACTATTAAATATATATAATTATTAGGTTCTTTAATTATTGTTTTGTTTTGTTTCTGTTTTTCTTTCTTTTTAAATAGTTGATTGGTATGCAGACGGTAAACAAGATATTGCTATGGCCCAGCCTACTCCAATTTGGAAGTACCATCGTATGCTAGCTCACTCTGCTATCAGGTTTACCATAGTCATTTATGTAATTGATCGAATAAAGATTGAACTAAATTGAACTGCTGATAAAAACCTAATATGATATCTAGATTGTACTATATGCATTACCCAAGGGGAATACTTACCTGGATAAAACAATAAAGGTCAAAGTTTCCTTTATCCAGATATCTCACTTAACCAACAACATCACTGTTAACTATTACACAATGATGCACAACAAATTGTATGTGGTGCATAATTTTTAGGCTCAGACGATCGGGCACTTGTATATTTATACCAATGTCTTTGGTTTTAACGCTATTACGCAAGCATTGACTATATGGTTTCACCAAAACAATTTAAGATAGTTAATAAGAAATGTTTCCATTGATGAGCTATGCTCAATTATTGCATCACTTTACTTTACTATTTACATTAAATTTAGCCTTAATATTATTTTCATTTTTATTTACATTAATATTTTAAATCTTCTTATACTAGTAGTTGTATGTTATTTTAGATGTTGATTTCAATGCTAAGTTTTT